GCCTGTGACCCACTGTACAGTAGGAAGGAGCTACAAGTGAAAATATCTGCTCTATTGAAGAGACGTTGAAAATCACGCATCTGTGACGACTGCGGGTCATGTATAAACGGCGGCGCGGAAGCGATGAGCGTGACCAGACGCGACGTTTGAACCTGCGGTCATCAAAGACCTGTTGATCTCACATTTGGCTGTCAACCTCAACACTGGATTAACCAGATTTGACGACGTGAACAGCTGCACAGCCACGCATCCCATTTGGTGACAGATAATTGACTATTGATCGATCGTCCTTGCGACCCACTGACCGCGGTTGGATTCGTGCTCTGCAGAGCTACACAGACGGAAGACAGGGGACAGCGCGCGCGTGCGTCGTATTTTATCGGCGAGCGTCTTCACAATTTTGGCAAACGAGATGAGGCGAGGACGAGGAGGATAAACGCCGCAGGTCGTTGTGGCCTCTGGAGGCCGGACGATGGCCGATTATTGACTTATGCCTCATTAGCCTCATTTATTTGCGACGAAATACGCTTATGAGTCCGGTGTACGGCGCGATAGCGGCGCAGCGGGCGGCGTCCAACCATCGACGGACCGTAGCTTTTCGCCATTGGAAATGCTCGATAAGCTTAATTGAGTTAGCCGCGAAGACGGTTCTTGAGTAATTGATAGTGCTTCGACCAAGCATGGTCGATTAACGCGTAAACAACAACGGGCACTGTCCACTCACCCTCGTCATGGTCGTGACTCCGTCACTCAACCTCTTCATCTCCTCACATTGTAAAATCGAGAAAAATGAAAAAATTTTCGTTTATTCTTACCTGTCAATAATGAACGGATCAGACGGGGTTTCGTTCCTGTTGCCACAACTCTTCTTTTCACAGCACCGGCTAGAAGAAGATAGATTTTGAACACATCCGTCGGCTGACTTGACCACACGCTTTACCTGCACATTACTTCATGGGTCAAAAGTACCCTGCACATTTCTGGGTTTTTGTCCTGGCCTTCGTACACAATAGCCTATAACAGTGACACCTGTATAACTTACGAAAGCGGCAAGAGTGCTTCTACAGTATGCACAGTCCTACTGTGGTATTCAGTGACATGAAACACGGCGATTAGAAAGAAGTACACAGTATTTGAACTCGTTATGTCTGACGAAAAGCCAAGGCTCATTAACACAGGAATACATTGTGTCGCAGAGCTTCAGTTTCTACTCAAAGTTTGTCCAATCAATCAACCGCTGTCTGATATCACTGACATGTCAAAGTAGTAATTTAGCTAATCAAGTGTGATTAACCAAATTCGTCGTTGTGCTCTTCATGAAAAAGATAACGGCGGATATCCCGAGGTAGATAGAGGTATGCATGCTTGTTTCAAGAATAGTCGATTCGAACAGCCACATTTGCCTTATGCCATTGACTGCTGAATATGGTGTCAATGCAAAGGTGTAACAACCAGACGTATAACCAGTTCATTTTCATTGAGTGTGAAAAGGAACCTGTTGCATAAGGCCTTTCTAATCTCTCAAAAAACTGACAGGATAATCTTGCCCTTAACGCAGCGGGAACCTATGTTATCCTGAACAGCAACATGTGAAGAACCATATCGAACCAATGGTGAATAAAGAATTTAGAGGCAACGATAATAGCGGAACAGATTCAGGTAAGAGAAGACACAGAGATCAGTTTAGCCTCACTACATCTACTATGCAACCAATGTCTTCCATTAATTCATAACTTCGTTGTTGTGAATAATTCCCCATGGCGGATTTGTTTGAAGTATTACTACTCTTTCTCGTCACGACTAAGAAATATCGATCTTTTTCAAATCAACCTGGGAGTGCAGTGTCAATGAAGGATCATCGTCAAGGAGAGAAATGAGACTACCGTGCAACATCTGACATATTCCTTTCAGAAGGAATGCTTTTTATTGTTTGTTATCATCAGCTTTAGCATCCTTCAAAACTTGCGGGGTTGATTGAGACAGATGGGATGTCCTAAGTGACCTACTTTACAGATCTTCCATTACCACAAAACAGATGATCCTTCAGAGTCTTGCTCTGAATTGATCTTCAGTAATTATGTGCTATTCACTCCACATGACCTCTTTAGTATACCACACTCTGCTATTCTACACTATGCGGGGGAATTAATAAACAAAAACATAATTCAAATAACTTGTTTAAAAATTTACTTAACTAAAACACCGTGTCCAGTTCTAAGGGAAAGACAATTTATTTTAACCGCTTCAACGATACTCAGGCGCAATAAATAGCAAACTGCATCCATTTATATCAAAGCTAAAGCAGGAGGAAAACATTTTTCAATAACTTGTTCCTCTGGGAGGGAATTGTTCTCAGTGGACAAATGCCAATGTCAGTAAACGTCAGCTATCAGCAGAAATTTTCATAATGCCACTTCTGCTTTACGATTCCTACAAACTTCAACGGTTTACGCATGAAGAGCACGTCCGCTTCAGATAATGTTCAGATTTCTCTCCTGCCATAGTACATAAGGTCTTGAAGCTCTGCTAAGAGAGACTATTATCCCTAACATAAGTTGGGATATTATCTTAGCCAAAAAATGGCTGCCGTCCCTGAATATCCCCCACGGATGGACATGGCTACATGATGTTTGAGAATGACTGATGCATGGAACTGCTTCAGGCTGATTCGATGTAAAACGGAGGCATTTCTTCTATTCCTTGTATCTCTGTCGGCTGATGCACAACTTACAGGGACAAAGAGGTTCGGTTTCTGGAAGCTAATCTTCCTTGCTTCTCGCATTGATGACAAAGCGTAATTGTAAATTTCGCGCTTGATTGCGTATAGTCCTGACTAGTGCACAGGTCCAAACACTCTTGAAGTCAACTTGAACCAGTAAGTCCCTTCCTCCATATCTTTCTTCTCATTATTTACCCTCTTCTGTTAGATCATGAAATAAACAGCTAAACGAAGAAACTAACCATTTCCATCAGTGACCAGTACCCTCTAATGAGGTTACTTAGTTTAAATCTGAGATTTTATGTTAAGTAGATCAGACTTGATTAAACTCATCAGGTTTGATGCTCGATCTCTGTCTGGCTTCCGATGACAACAAAGTGATACAGGTTGCTACCTGTCTTATTTTTTATGGTTTATCCATCTTGGTTGAGGCTTACTACGCCAGGAACAGCAGAGTAGACTGATTCGACTCACTACCCATCCCATGCATTTGAACAGAAAGGTTTTAATTATGAAATGTCGTTGCGTTCTTCCGTGGTGTTGAACTATGAAAGGAAAAAGCTATAAATTTTTGATATTTCAACATTGTGCTTCACATAATGTTAATTTATTATTTTTATTCTTTTAAGTCAAACGAGATTCTTCGAAACGGACAAGCGAAATTAACCTATTCCAACCCTTCCCTCTAAATTGTTCCAATATCCAATTTTTCCTCCATGTCACATAAAGTGGATCAGCCAATACGGCTTGTTACTGATGTAAAACAAAAGCAGTTTACTAATGAGGCAGTAACAAGAACTGACAGAGCCGGTCATAATATGTTGTGAAGGAGGGCACACTGGTAGAAGCAACTTTAGTCGATTTGAACGAGTGATTAATGGTTTCTGTAGGATTCAGGGATATATCAGTTGCACATGGCCACAAGGCAAAAGTCAAATCAAAAAGACCCATTGCTGAACCTACATAATAATGAATAAACGAAACCAAGCATTAGTGCCAATATTTCGTTTATGCACAATTTAGGACATGGCGTGAAGAGATGCGTCATGTTTCCCTTTTACATACTGAAAGAACTAATCAATAATACTAGCATGTTGATTTTAGAATCCAAGCTTGTGTGGTGCAAAAAATATAATTTATTTATACATAATGCAAACGACTTGATCAATTATATGATTCACCAGAATATATACATTTGGGCTACGGACATACCATCCCCTGCGACAACGAAAGGATGTCTGGAGCAAACCAACCTCTCTACCATGACGGATGCACGTGAGACACGGATTCAAACGTCGGCACTAATCAAACACATCTGACTGACCAAGTTGTTTGTCTGCTGTATAAATAAACAGTGCCTTGTACTATCCTCAGAATGACCACAAATCCACGTACCGCATACACAACCTCATAATAGACAGAAGGAAGTTACGATACGGTGCCCAG